TAGCTTACATAAATGTCCCACCGTGGATGCGTCTTACAGTTCGTTGTCTGACAACTTTGTGTTTCTTACGTATAATTATGTTTGGTGCTCTTTGGGTGCCTGGTGTAATCCTTGTACGGATTATTAATTGACGGGATGTTCCCCGACAGAGTAGCCTCTGTGTTTCTCTGCTCGCGATACCTCCATCTGCCCGTCGCAGCAATACGTTGTTTAAATTTAAGTTTTAAGTGAAAGCGTAGTGAAATTGTTCATGTATATATGAATTTAGTCCTAACACGACATACACAATGTCTAGAATTAGTCTGCTTTTGGTATTATAAGACGTCCACAACGACCACATTTGGACTATAAATAGCCCATACATGGAGGTCCCACGGGCGTCAATACTAGACGTTCATTAGACGTCAAAAAAAGACGTCGCCTGGCGTTACAAAACAACCCCTTCAGTGGACCAAAATTGGACGTCCAAAAACGACATATTAAAGATGTCATTCCGACGTCACTATGCGCAGTGGGATGTCATAGTTTTATTACCTTGTAAATAGTCTTTAGTGCTTGCAAACTACCCCAGCGCTTTTGATGTAGCTATTTTTAGGTTCATAATGGAAAAATATAGATTTGCCGTGAGATTTCTTGCGTGAGCCTCAGAGTCAGAAAGTGTGAGTGTCATGCCAAATGCGTGAGATTTGGCAACCTAGTTTGATGTTTTTCTTCATAGCAAGTTGCTTCAAGTATTCAGATCTGAAGAGCAACTACTGTATGTAAGCTTTTAATATTAAGTTTTATGTTTTAGAACACCGCACCAATAGCCCCCACCGCCCAGTATCAAACTCTTTCCGACGTTTCAGATCATCAACCTCATAAAATTCGCACTCAAAAAGGGAGTTTTGTCCTACGCTTCAGCGCCATCTATTGTTCAAATGATAATTACAATGCGCCGGACCCAAATAAAGGGCAGTGTATGTAAAATCATTACCAAGCATAATGTGATTAAATAAACAATGAACAAAAATATACACATATGGACAAAAATATTGGGACTCACCTCTCAGTAATTGAATTAAAGTGTTTCATTCAGACCCATTGCCACCAGTGTGGCAATGATAATGGTGTGGGGTTGTTTTTCAGGGGTTGGGCTGGGGCCCTTAGTTCCAGTGAAGAGAACTCTTGATGCATCAACATTTTGGATAATTTTATGCTTCCAACTTTCTGCCCTTTTCTGTTCCCGCATGACTGTGCCCCAGTGCACAAAGCAAGGGTCCATAAGAACATGACTGGGTGAGTTTGGTGTGGAAGAACTTGACCATCACGCATAGAGCCCTGACCTCAACCCCATTAAACGCCTTTGGGATGAACTGGAACGGAGACTGCAAGTCAGGTCTTCATGTCCAACATCAATGTCTGACCTCACAAATGCTATTCTGGATGAATGGGCAAAAATTCCCACAAACACACTCCATAAACTTGTGGAAAGCCTTCACAGAAGGGGGGACCAACTCCATTTTGATGCAATATGGCTTTACAATGGGACGTCATGAACAGGTCATGCATGTGTAATGGCTAGGTATCCCAAACACTTTGTCTATTTAGTTTGTATTGTGGTACGCCGCAGACCCAGACATCACGGTGGTAGGAACAAGAGAAGATGAAACAGTTTCAAGTTATAATCCTTACTAGAACTAAACACAAGTATCACCCCGACACACATAACATGGAAATGCAGGGAGGTCTGTCACCAAACAGTAAGACACAATACAAAGGGACACGCAAGGATCAGGCAAAGATCATACACAAACGCAGGTAAGGGCACACGCGACAATTACAAATAGTGTGGAGCATGCTGGGAGATGTAAATGGGCTCTGCTATATATACAACTCTAATCTACATTTTTAAATCCTGGTTCTACTGGCAGAAGGCTACATTGCAAGTTTGAGACACTGGGAATGACCAGAAACCAGGCTGGTAAAGGGCTGAACCAACTATTTAAATAGCAGAGATGACCGTCATCTTATCCGACAGTTTCTCGTCAACCAGAGGATGACCTCAAGGGACCTTCAAAAAGAACCGGAAACATGAAGTGCAGGTGTGAAGTGCACTGCTAGGACATTTCATATGAAGCTGGACTGAGGCCCCATAAAGCCAGGAAGAAGCCCTTCATTAATGTGAAACGAAGAAGAAACAGGTTGCAGTTTGCAAAAGAAAATATACTATTCACAGATGCACACCCATAAATTGAAAAATGAGTGAAACAAAAAATTGTGCTGAGGTACTGTGGTCTCAGTTTTTTCCAGAGCTGTACGTCAGGGTCGGTCCCTGTCCTGCCCCATTGGTATGTCTGTTCCCTCTTTGCCCAGCAGATGTCGCTGGTCATCCTGTGTCCTTAACTTCGTATTTCCATGTTCCCTGTAATTTTGTGTTTTCTTGGTTTATTATGTATTTCAGTTACAGTTCCTTGTTTTTGCTCCTTGTTCCCTAGTTGTAGTAGGTTCGGTTTTCCTTGTTTTAGTTTGCCTTGGTGTTTGAACCTTTTGTATCTGATAATTGACCTCACCTGCTCCTTGTTGCCCCAAATCATGTAACTGTCGGCACCTGGCCCTTGTTTGCCCATGTTATCCATGTATATAGGTACCTGTCCTTGCCTTGTTTCCTCAGTTGGTCATTGTGGTTGTTACTGTGTGTTTTATCTAATGTTGCCCTGTGTTTGTCGCTGGTCTGTTATGGTTGTTCATGTATTCCGAGGCGAGTACACCGGGCACTGCCACGTCCAGAACAGAACACATGAGACAAAGGACCTGGGAAACAGGGCACAAAAAAACAACACAGTACACAGGACCTGGGATCAGGGAATCGGGGTAGGACCAGATGAGACAAAATGAGACAACAGCGAAACCAGGTGAACTAAACAGACTGGACAAGGACACTAATGGCACTGCCATCAAGAACCGAGCTGTAACCGTACGTGTATGTGAACCGTACCCAAGCCGTATCCGAGCCGGAACCACGCTGACCTGGCCCTGCTTATTAGCGTGGCTGAAAGCGTGACCAAACCTAGCTGGCTGCGTCATCGCCTGGTTAGTTCGAAATGCAGAGAGATACCGGTGTTCTGTGCATGGATTATCTGAAAGAAAAAGTATACATATTCTATATTTTGTATTACTCATTATTAATAATATTGCACATCGCAAAGTATTGATGCTGCAGTGCATGGGCATCTTAAGTTGGAATGTTATTCTTTATGTTTAGCAATCTAAAACAATTAACCACTTCTTGAAAATGAAGGACTTTAGACTGCTGGAAAAGTGGCAGAAACTCTCTAGTCCGGCGTTTCCAGAAAATGTCTGCCAAATACTGCACTTGCTTCCATCTTTTTCTGGAGTACATATTTTCCTTCTGAAATGTCCCTGGTGGCCGTGAAGAGTGTACTTTCATCAGAAATAAGTGGCTGAGTGTGAGCACTTCTTTAGGGTCGTCTGTGACTCTTGTAATTAGTCTACTGTTCACAATTTCCTCGACTTCACGAAACAATGTCTGAAGGCTTCCATCATCACAGTGCTGCTGTTGTAGTGGCGGATTAAGTATCTTTCTCGCAGTCCTTTTCTGTATTTCCCAGACACCCCCGCAAAAATGTGAACATGCTGGGGGGTTAAAAATCCAAGTACCTCCTTTCTGCAGCGTTGTTTTTGAAATCTTGGACTTATTCCAAGCCTTGATTGATTCACGCATCTCACATTCAGCTCCCACTAGATTTGTACTGTTATCTGATTTTATGACAGGTACTTGTCCTCTCCTAGTAACGAATCTTCTGACTGCATTAATGCATGAGTCAGTCTCAAGGGAGTCAGCAACTTCCATGTGTGTCACTCTGATAGTGAGACAGGTAAAGAAAACCCCATATCGTTTCTCCAAACTGTGACCACGCTTACATCGGTAAATAGTGGCTTGTCTGGCATCAAGCAATCT